CCATAAAAACTATCAGGTCTGTGCAGTGTCGTATGACATCTATGTACCAAGTTTCATTGAAATGTGGATGATTAGTACTTGAGATATCAGTGGAAAAACCGAAAATTGACTAATCATTATGCAAATTAGGTAATTAGTATCCACGGATTATTACCAAAAATAATCAAAACCTAGCATTAGTTCAGAGCATCTATGTATCAAGTTTCATCAAAATCCAATGAGTGGTTGTTTAGATATCAGTGGAACAGTCATGGAACCACTAAAAAATAGCTAATTATCATGCAAATTAGGTAATTAATATGCACGGATTTTTACCAAAAATTAATCAAATCTGCGCATATGTTCAGAGCATCTATGTACCAAGTTTCATCAAAATCCAATGAGTGGTTCTTTAGATATCAGTGGAACAGTCATAGAACAGCTAAAAATTAGCTAATTATCATGCAAATTAGGTAATTAACGAGCATGGATTTTTACCAAAACCTAATCAAATCTGCGCATTGGCCCAGAGCATCTATGCACCAAGTTTCATCAAAAACCGATGTATGGTTCTTGAGATAGCAGTGGAACAGTCGGACACACATACACACACACATACACACATACACACATACACACATACACACTACAGACACACTAACTGCAAAGACTCCCATTTTGTGCTTCGCACATGGGAGTCAAAAATGCTTACCAATATGGAATATAGTTCACTACAATATGCTACACGTGCTCTTGCATAACTTTGTCGGTTAAAAGGATGGTTGTAAACTCACAATCATGTCTTAACTATCATTAAAACATTACCATAAGCTGATTGAAAATATTATAATACCCTGAAAAAAAAATGGCTGCAAGCTGTCGATGACCTAAAACACGAGGCAGTTTGTGGTAAACTATAACATTTTCACTACAAGATCCGCTTTGCTAACATGACTGAGATAAGGTGTGATAATAGTTGATACTTAGATGAACAAAAAATGGCAACGTGTACTCAGTGGTTTGGTTCCACAGTGGTAACACCTCCTTTTGTTGTAAGCTGTATTAGATAGTGTATCGACATAAATGTGCCCTCTAACAGGATTGATATTGTAGGAATCCCAAATCAAAATAGAATCCCCTCAAAATTTAAATTGAGCCAGCTTGAAAAGTCAGTCTTCAAAAAAATAAATAAAATTGAATGCAATTGTTTTAGTGACTTGAGGAACAAACAACAATATTGTGGCCCCTGATTTCCTTCCTATTACACTAATTGTGTTTATAAAATGTGAGGGCACACTGATCAACATAAATTGCTAAACTGTCTTGACTACATGTCAATTCCAGTTTCCAAAATTGATAGCGTTTACATATTTATTATTTTTGTACTTGTGCTTGCATTGTCAACAAACAGGATGCCAGTCTGTATTTCCAACTAGCGACATAAAAAATCACCTCAAAAAAGTGCCTCTGATAATTTGTGCACTATTCTGCCTAAACAAGTAACATGAGCATTGATTATAGCAAAATATTTTTCATATTTTTGGGTATTTTTTGTGATGGAAAAGCTATATCACAATATTATTTATTCAAACACACACATACCATCTTTTCTTTAGTTTCTCTGCAAAAATAATTCTTTTTCAACTGGTAACTTCCATATTATAGATATTCTAGAAGACCTTTTTGTACTCACCCATACACACTCCCGACTTTTTTAAAATACTGTTTCAAATATAAAATATTCTTTCGACTTTCGACTTTTTATATTTTTGTATTATTCTAACCTATTGCTAGGAAAAGGTTATGCATGGTAAAGAGAATCACATTGTGTCTTTCAATCATCAGTAATTATATATTTACATTTTTATCAGTATACCGGTAATTGTGGCATGCCTATGTGTAATATACAGTTTACATTATTAGGCGAACAAGACAACTTACCAATCAGCATAAAAGTTGACAAAGACCACAGAGTTATGATTGATGATAGAATCAAAGTTTTGCTTGTTCAATGATACCACATTTGGGTAGGAACCACTGCTACATGTCTGGGAGTAAGTCAACTGAAAATATACAAATACAACATTTTAGTATAATTTAAATCCCAATGCAGAGACTAGCTGAGGGAGGAGTTACATAGTACATGTAAGTACGTGGGAAAGTATTTTAGCCAATCTGTTTTTGAAGTAAAAATGTCAAATATTCTGAAAACCACTGCTAAAACATTTATATTGCTTCATTATTTCTGTAATAATTAATCCCATAAATGTATGTACATGTATAAAGAAAGTGCATTATTTTTTGTTTTGAGTAGTGTTCTACCATAAATATGTGTGAGCATAGTCCCTCTATTCCCAGTCTGGAAACGGCTATTGTCTAAGGTGTGAATTACCCGCTGTGCTCGGACTGCACTGGGTATTGCTTTCCGCGAAGCATAGACTCTTGATAGCAGAGCATTCTATTGAAACGATTGATTCATTGTTCCCTTCACTTTCTAGTTTTTACAAGCGAAAAATCCATATATTTTGATACTTTATATACATGTAGATTTTGAAGCTCAACACAATTCTTTAGCTGGCAATTCTTTCTATAGTGGCATATTGACATTATTATTCGTGAATATTGCACTTGAATTTGAGGGACTCAGTCAGAGATTGCAACTTGGAACACTTCTATCAATCTTGACTGGTTGGCCCCTTCTATTCGTCATGTGTTTTAGAAAGATCAATGTTTTTCGTTGATTGGACAGCTTAAACCCAGGTTCATTATGCTTGTTTTATTATATTATATACAGTATACGTATCACATATAGGCATCACTTTTTCCATTCAAAATAAAGATGGCCTCTTGCCGATTCATTGCCATTCGAATTTTCTTGTCATTATTTTTGTTTCCAAGCATATATTTGGGATGCAGTTTACAATGCTGGTGATTATGTCCCTGAGAATAACATCCTGCAGTATTAATTCTTTAGCACTGCCAGAAATTTAGTGGGCAGACTTTTTTTTTTGCCCTATAAGAATTTATATATGTGTGCCCTTTTGTTTTTGATTTACTAACTTACTCAACGTGAGTCAGCCCCTTTCTAGTATGAAAACTGCGTTCAACCATAATATTTTTTTCAATGTGAATAGATTTGTATATTAACCTTTTGGTGATGTGGTTAGTTTTTCTTACAGATGTTCGTATTTTGATAAATCACCGCAATATTTTCTGTTCTGTTTAAAGTTTGTGATCACAATGATAAAGTTAGTGTACGCTCAGCTTTGTGGCTAATTGTCCAAGGTGTGAACAGTTTATTTACCGGCAACCACCCCTGGAACAATACACTGCGAAGCGTTTCCAGACCAGGGATAGAGGGATTGTGGTGTGACGCATGATATCAATAATTTATTGAACAAGTGCAGTAATTTTAATCGTTTTGGAGCATCTGGCAAGAAACATAAAATATTTTAACAAATCTGATATCATGGGTCACGAATTTAGATATTCTATTGATCACATACATGTACATGTATGATGCATCTATTTTGTAACAGAAACTAGTGTTTGGCGTCTTAGAGATGGTGCAAATAACAATCAAACTGTCGATAAAAGTGTGTTATATTGGGATGTGATATTAAAATTAACACAGATTTTGAATGATAGATGTGATAAAGCATATAGTAATTCAATTTTCATAAGTGAGATAAGAAAAGACGTGATTGGTTGGCAGTCAACACCTGCTTAATATAAAACACTTGCTTTCATCCAATCACTTGTTTGATGTCAGAGTGTAGAGATTGATGTATGGCGGCCATTTTTTGACACTCACTGGGAATTGGTTGATATTCTTACATTTCTCTTATTATTTAATCCTGCTAGGTAGTTATAATAATGATGTTGCCAAGTCATCAGTAGTTGAGCGTCAAGATTCGGCATATTTTTTATTTGAACAAGAGATTAAAACAGAATTTCCTTGTATCATTTTTTATACACAGGTTTATAAAGTTGTGGTTGAATGTGGTTAAACACTTGACACTGTTCATTTATAGCAGAGCTGGAATGACAATGGGTTCTTTTTAAATACCGTGGGTTTATATACATGTTTATGTACATGTTTATGTACATGTTTATGTACATGTTTATATACATGTTTATATACATGTTTATGTACATACAAGGTATACATGTCTACAGGGGGTTATCATTTTGGTGTATACAAAGGAATTAATTGTGGTAAAACCTCCAGGACAGGAGGGATAGATAAAATATACATTTGTATATCATAATATTAGTGGTGAACATTTTTAGTGGCCTTCAGTCAGGGCTCAGGTGTTCAAGACCATAGATGCAACTATTGTAGTACCTATTATTATATTCTTAATCTATCTATTTTTACTAAACAACAAACAGTTTACTATTTAAAAAACACACACAATTGACACCGAGTTTTTCATGTTTAATTAATTTATATAAGTAATATGATGCCATGATAGGAAATTGAATTGCCTCAATTAAACAAACTATGAATGAGTTTTAAAATAAATGAGCCGAAATAAAATTGAATTTTACCGGGTATGTTATTACTAGCCTATCAGGGACTGCCACATGCCTACACTGGTTACCAAGCTAAGTACATTCGCCATCCCGGAAGTTAGGTTGATTTTGACACAGAAATTTTGTAAATCAAATAATAATATGGCAATTGTTGACACGAAAAAGACTCATTTTGAGGGAATCAAGAAATTTTGATGCGTACTGGCACAACAAAATAGCAATATTAAAAAAATTGCAGAGCAGTTAAGTTGTCTTGTGGTGGCCGGTGGTGACGAAACCATATTCAGAAACGGCGTGTGGTAACAAGCAAACGACGCAGAAACTTACCAAGAAGATCGTGGCTGCAATCCAATGGGAACCCATTGTCAGGGTTATCATTTCGATAATTGTATTTGTCACAGGCACGCAAGTGAAAATAAATGTCGGTGCAAGCTGCCACCAAAACACGCAGAAAAAGCCCACACTGCTGTCGCGTCTAACCCAGTTTCGGCGACAAGATGGCGTACCAGCTAGCGCAGATACATATTACAACAAAATTTATTTAAAGTATTAACAATTAAGTTTCTTTCTAATTTGAAAACAAAAGCGCTATTAAAATTATTCTAAAATGTAAGACTAGCACTGGATTGGGTTTAAAAAGTTCTTTTTCAAGTTTGTTTAACCTTTAAATAAAACATTGCGAACGAGCCTAAAGTCAACATCTGACCCCAAGAGAGCGCTATTCTTGACGAAGGAGAAAGTTTGCCGCGGCTCGGTAGATGGATTTCACAAATACTAGTATAACAAAAAATCATTAAACTATGAAAAATGCATAATGTAAACAACAACAAATTTAGATAATCCTATATCCAGTCAATGAATCAATTAAAACTTGTATATGTTGCTGACATTCATAACTTTATACTAGAGTTCTTGACTTATTATTCAAGTTGAAATAATGTAGCAACTGAACTAAACAGTATCTTTATAGTATAATTATAAACTCGTATTTAACAAATTGTCTACATATGAAAACCTAGACAAATATAAAGAGCACTAATTGTATTTTGCGTAGAAAGTAGAAGAAATTGAGCATCTATTTAACGCATATGTTCTGAGTAACATTTCTGGAAAAAAAGTTAGTTCCACTGAAGAGACTTTGAACAAATACAACCTTTCCTAGAATGATTTGTTTATCTTGAATATCGATTATATGTTTAAATATTTCAACAACAAAACATATGTAACAATAGTATCACGTAAATATATACAATGTGCAATGATTTTCAATTATATAATCGCATACACGTGTTGTTTTTTATGATAATTTCACTATAGATAGACACACTGACACCACGTGTCACCCCACTGATCAAGGAAACAGTCGCGAATAAAATTGACATGAAAACGACAATAAATCACCCGTGACCCTGGGACATACGGGACTATATAAAGATACGACCGGTAATCGCCAATCGCAAAAAAATATTGCAAATCAAAATAATGATCATCTCCGGGTCCTATACTGGATGATAGTGATTATTTGTAAGTAAAATATATAAGACTATTTTTATTTATTATTAACATCTCCTTGTCATGGCATCGATATGTTGTTAAAAATAAATATGTTTAGGAAAACGGCGGCCTGTATATCACGTGACTATTGGCGACCACGGATTTGTTGTTCAATTAGACACATGATGTTGTTTCATGTTCTCGTTGAATATAATGACATTACAGTACTTGACATTTTAGTAAAACCCCCTAGTTAGTTTATGATATCTCTTACGGTACGACGTGTAGACAGGAAGTGCGCTCGGGTGGACCGTGATGTCCTCTAGCGTACTGCAGTGCAGAGAGAGTAGCAGTCTACGTCCCATCATTACGCGCGTTGTTTATTTTGATTGATTGCATAATTGTCAGACTCTACTGACGTCTAGCTTTATATCATGTTCTTTTATGCAGTTTTAAGGTTTTTTTTTGTTTTGTTCAAAATGGCATTGCTTTATTGTATGGGTGCTGGTTTCAAGACTGCGTGGTTATACTCTCCAAATACTAGTATGCCAGTATGTCGTTCTTATGGAAATGTAGCCTGACAAGTT